ATGTACCACGTCCACGGTTCAACTTTGGAAATGATCATGCAGACAATGGACCCCGGAATAGGTGCGTTCCTCTAAGTCTTCCTACCAATATGATCATGTTTCAAACAAGGTCAAACAACTTCTATACAACGAAAGGAGACTGCGACCACACAAAAGGCCACACCATCTTGGTTTTCATACAATATATCTTTTAATTTGCTAAAATTTGGTTAAGCCTTAGGTCGAACACTGGCTGCTGGCTTTCTTTGACGGTGGACGATGGTGTGGTTGAAGAAAATTCTACATTTTTATTTTGCTTGCAAAACGCTGGGCTGACGCTTAATTATGAAAAAGATAGCAAGTTCTTCTTCCTCAGACTAATCAGGAAAGTGGAGGAGGTCATATGGCGGACGAAAAGCTTAGCACGTTTCGCAGGAATTGAGGGAGATTGCCTCGGAAACAGAGTCGACAAGAATGCTCCAGCAAAGCCAATCGACAGCTGGTGAAGAGAAATCCGCTGTCGTCTTCTGGTGGAACCGACCTTCGAATCTGTTCCCCAAATTAATTTCACTCAAGGTGATAATGAGCTCAGCAGTTAAATCAGCTTCCAAAATGTATTTGTCAAAATGAACGCGTAAATCGCTTCATTAAAGCATCGAGGCTAAAGGCATAATAGGCTTTCCTATTCGTCTAATTGTGAGCAACTCAACTAGCAGGCCTTCCTCACCTAAAACCAACACACATTACGATGCAGATATTTAGAACAAGAGGTTGTGGCATTTGGCATGGCTGCAGCCTCCTTTTGAGGTATAGACGTGGGCGGATCTTGCTTTCGCAACTTGGTCGAGTTTTCATGGCGACTTCGTTGGACGCAATTGTAGATACGTTTCTTTTTTTCTGGTTGACCGATTTCACTTGACTCCAGTAGCATGTCCAATGTCGCCTCACTTGAAGATCGCCTAGGCTCTGATTTACACTCTTGCAGATATCAAGCATTGCCTCCACGACTCTTCTCTTTGATCCAAACAGTGTGCTCTGAGCAAACTGTGTATTTCTAATGGTAGAGTTTACTTCCATTTCGAGTGAAGGTGTTGGGTGAAGAGATTCCAAGGTCTGTTCCACCAGAAGACGACGGCCGATTACTTTTGAGCAGCTACTGTCCTTTTTGCTGTCA